AGAGAGAGAGAGAGAGAGAGAGAGAGAGAGAGAGAGAGAGAGAGAGAAAGAATGGATCATTACTTTTTAAAAAAAGGTATCAAATTTCAGATCTGCTGTAGGTAGAGAACAACTTGGTGATTTAACTCACAGACTGAAAAAGACAAGCTTACAATTGGTAAAATATATGCTGTTCTAAGAACAGGATCTGAGAAACCGTGCCAACTTTACCTGATTTCTAATAGTTTCCCGCCTATATTTGGATATTTCAGTAGCAACCTATCGAGAGAAAGCAAAGTTAGTTATACTGGGGTTAATCAGCCCCAAACTATACATTCTCTCTCCGTACTTACTAAAGATTTACATAATCTCCATGTTTAGCCAGTGCTGTGCAAACTTCAAGTATGATTCTACTACGCCAACCTTGAATTTGGTACCACCTACAAAAATCCCAGAGGACTATTTCCCCAAAATCGTGTGTGTGTGTGTGTGTGTTTAAATCTCACTCATAGTCTGTAAAACCCGAGAGAAACTTGGGGACAAAATGCAGGCAGTTGTGGATGCAAGGCAAAACGGAGCAATCCTAATGACATAGAAAGGCAGGGCTTCAGGATCCTCCACATGCCATAACTAGCAGAAGCAGAATCACATCAAACACGTAAATGTTTACCGATTGACATGCCAGCTTGAATGATTCAAAGGTGAATTCCATTATTTGTAGAAGTGCACTCAGCTTGGTCCTCCACACCCTTAGCAGCCAGCAACCTCCCATCCCACCTATACACACTTTCCTCAACGACAGCTCACATTCTCCCTCATCACACCCCACCATCCTCACAGCCCTCGCCCCAACTCACGTAGAAGCATTGAGATTCCAGGCAGACTTTTCCGCATCAACTGTGGCACCAGGGCCAAACGTTAAGTTGGTTAGGTCAAACTGTGTCTTGTTGATGGTCACTGAGAAATTACTGGCCCAGAAGAGTATTTTTGGGGTCCCAGTTTTGGGGTAACGAAGAGGTGCAAATGCTGTCTCCTTCTGAAGCAGCTGTCGCCCTAGCTTCTCTGGAGCCACATCAGAAACATCCCGGGCAACCTAGAAGGGAATTTTCACTTCTTTATACGCTACACGCATACTATATCCTACAACCAGTGTTCCCAAGGACAGCTTACAAACAGAATTACAATACCACACGTCAAAAACCTCACCAAAAGTCATTTTATCAGAGAATTGAGGAGGAAAAATAAAGGTGGAGAGAACACAGTGGGGCAGAAAAGACTAAGGGAAATGTTCTGTGTTGCAGACAAGGAGAAAGCCACCTCTGCTCTCCAATACAAGACCTTCTCCCAAAGTTGCTATCAAAGTGTAATTTTTATAGCAACAGCAAGGAACAGATTATTAAATATACAGGGAGCCATCGTATTTCATTACTGCCACTGAGTCTAAATGAATTTTTAAATTGATGTTTGCTGGGCTTCCCCATTCTTATAGCACAGGTCCTGGAGCACCACGAAGAGGTCAAGTGGAGCACTTTGCTGCATATCACCCTGGTTTAGGGTACCTCAGAAAGGCCTGCTCTGGAGGACCAGACGGCTGCAGTGGTTAAGGACCTGGGCTAGAAACCGGGAGACCGTGAGTTCTCATCCTCCCTTGGGCATGGATGACTTTGGGTCAGTTGTTCTTTCTCAGTCCAACCCGCTTCACCGGGTCGTTGGTGTGAGGAAAACAGGAAGGGGGAGCGTTATGCACCTTGAATGTCATACAATAAAGCCAGGATCTAAAGCCAATAAATAGGTAAATAAATGCCCCCAGATGTCCACACAGGCATCCATTGTCTGGAAACTCAGCTTTGGAGAAATCAAATTTAGCTCAGCTTCTCTTACTGCTAGCTCTTTTAGCAAAACAATTAATATTTTTAAAGAATCTAAAAAAAAACTTTTGTTACCTTCCTCCTGATTTCACCATTTGTTTGTATATAATTTCATCATCACTGACTATATTTTACTTTTAACATTCGTAATGTAAACCATGTGCCTATTATTAAGCTGTCTCAGACTCAAAGGCGGCAAATTAATGTGGCATCGAGACAATCACGTGTATTCCCAGGAATGGGAAGAGGAGAGTAGGAAGAGGAACTGCAGCGCAATCAGAAGGACTATGTACCCTGGAAGGCCGCAGAGCTGTCAGGATGGCTGTGTAAGGAATATCCTCTGACTGCAGAGCGCTCAAAACCTGTCCCAAGATCTCATCTGCAAGAAGAAATTTTGTTAGAAGAAAAAAGTGGCCCCAGCGCCTCCAATCTGAAGGCTAAAGCCCAGCCATGAATAAACACCCCCAAGCAGCACCACTTGCCTTCTCCAAATCTGGCCCAGTCTGCACATCTGCTCTTTGCCCCCCTATTTCACATGCGACGGCTGCTGTCCCTTGTCAGGGAGAACTTGCCTTGTGACTGCTCCTTCGTACAAGGTAGTCCAGTCAGCAAGGGGCAGACTGCTACAAGCTGTCTACTACAAACTAAATATGAGGCTGACCTTAGAACCAGAGTCCCGCCCCAGGACATTCCAAGCAGATACTGCCTTACTCAGCTCCGCAGGCCCACCCAGAATGCCTTCAGAGGCCGTTCTTCCCCAGTGGATTAAGGTTTTCAAGCTGTTGCTCACCATTGCTGGTCAGAACTTCCTTTGGGGCCATAAGACTAGAGCTGGAGTAGGGAAAAGGGGAGAGAGAAGAAGAGAGAGAACAGACCTTGTTTACAAAAGAGCCTCCAGTCTCCCTTTGTACGAATCTAGATTCTTCCATTACCGTTATCAATGATTCTCTAGTTGGAGAGAGAAATTTTGGCCACCACTTTCAGGAGCCACATTGCTTCTCACTACCTGATATGGAGGGGAGCCCAGATCAACCTTCCAAGACTGTGCAGTGGAGGATGATTTAAAAACCTAGGGGAAGTGCAACATGCATGGGTCTCAAGAAGTATGGGGAAGAAGGCAAGGGGGAAAGTACAAAAGCTGAAATACCCAGGTAGGCTACACAGAGTGAAATAGGAACTGCAGACTACACAGAGTGAAATAGGAACTGCAGAGAAGTATGGGGAAGAAGGCAAGGGGGAAAGTACAAAAGCTGAAATACTCAGGTAGGCTACACAGAGGGAAATAGGAACTGCAGAGAAGTATGGGGAAGAAGGCAAGGGGGAAAGTACAAAAGCTGAAATACCCAGGTAGGCTACACAGAGTGAAATAGGAACTGCAGAGTAGGTTGGAGAGGTTGACTCTGGGGGAAATGAATAAGCTGGATCCAAAGCTTGAGGCTGTGCATCCAGAAGAGCAAGAAATGGTAACAGATTGTCTCAATGTTAAGTGTAACGATCAGTAGAATGTTATGTGCTCGTGTAAAGGATTGGAAAGCGGACTGGGGGGAAGGTATGAGAGAGCCATTAAAGAAAAGAAATTACACAGCCCCAAGATAGAGGGAAGTGTGAGAAAGAAATTCAAAATAACCCAGCCTTGGATTAGTATAAGATGGGACAGAGAAAAATTTGGACAGGCTTTCAAGATTGTTGTCAGCCCTTTGAAGTAGGCCAGGTCAAGAAACAGGCATGGCAGGGATTCCAGAAATACTCTTTACTGTACAGCAACAGAATCTTGAAAGCCTGTCCAAGTTTCTCTCTTTCTCCCATTTTATACTAAACAAAATCAAGGCAGAGTTATTTTGAGTTCGTTTCTCCTGCTTTTCTCTTTCTCAGGACTGAGTAATCTTTTCTATAAGTCCCCCCCCCCAATGGCTTGCTCCTTCCCTCCCTCCCTCCTTCCTTCCGCCCTTAATGGCTCTCTCATACCTTCCCCAAGGATGTCAGTACACTCCTTTATTGCCTGCAGCCCTGCAGATGCCTTACTTTTTGCACCCTGCAATACCTGTGTGCACACATGCACAAGCGGGAGGATACTCCAGCCTTAGTAACAAAAACAGAAGCCCTACAAGGCTGAATACCTACCCGGTGGTATAAGGCAATCGCACCATCAGTAAGGCAGGGAGGCTGGCATTGAGCTTCAGCTCCTGCAGAGTGTTCTGGTCCACGTGAAGAGGTGAAATGCCCAGCTTGGCCTTCAAAAAGGCAGGGACAGCACCAGCTGCAAACCAGTCGACAGAGGGAAGCACCAAGGAAGAGGGAGCTGCTCCCAAGGCATTCTGGTGGGAAGACGGTGAAACAGTCAGATCAAGGCCAACAGGATTTCCCGAGGCATGTTGTTAATAGAAGGGCCAGTGCTTCTTCATGATCTTGAGCTGCCGACTGTCCGTCTTTTAGCACTACAATTTTTTGCCTTTCGACTGCCATGTAGCCCATCTCCATCCAAGCCACTCCATGGCCCGAGTTCACTTTAATACTCAGCATTCTAGTCTAATATTTCAGCATTACCATTAATATATCCTAGGAAAAAAGATGTAACTCAAGGATTAAGGGTTAAATGCAGGTTAAGGGTCGTGGGCTAAATGCAGCCTTCCTGAAGTTACACTATAGCTCTTTTAGCCCACTTTTCATTTACCACCAAGATCTGGCGAGAAATCACACCAACGATTTTCAGTGACTGTCTATAAACAGTCTGTGGTTGCACGAAAGGGTTAGGGCTAGGAAAAAAAGGGATAAATGAAACATTTAGCACCTTTTAAAGTTTCCATTTGTAATTTACTGTCTGAAATAAATAGCACTGGGGGAGAGGGCTTTCGTTTGTCATTGTATATTCCAGCCTATTTATGTGAACTCATATGTGGAAAATTGTTGATTATTTTTACATTATTTTGAATTTCGTACACAGTATGAAATGAAAAATGAAAACGGAATAGTAGATAGGAAACAGCCCTTTGCTGGGCCTAAATCTGAATACCTGCATCTCCCCTCTTTAAGTGGCATAAAGAGACTTTATCCATTCACTAGGTTGAATATGTAATTAGATTTTAAGACTGTAGCTAAAATTCAAATCAAGTCTGAATTTTATTCCTTTTCCTTCCTAGAAGCTCAAGACAGCTAGGAAAGCTCTGTCTCCTATTAACATCTTCTCACAGACATCACTTGTGACAAGATTAGCTTGAGAGAGTCTGCAGGCTGCACAACTAAGAAAGAATTTGAATGCAGTTCTCAGGAGATCCTAATCAAACATACTTAAAATAATACATCCCAGCGATCCTGCTGCTTTTTATTATTTAAAAAAAAAAACAACTCCAAAAAAGCTGCTTCTCTTCCTTTCCCGTTTCATTTAATACAGCAGCATGGCTTATTTTTCTGGCTTCCATTCCCTTGCTACCTACCACATGTCTAAAGTGAAGAAACAGGAAGTCGTTCTAGCTTAAAGGACAGCCCAAAAAGGAAAGAAAAAGAAATTCTAGCTGGATACAATGGAAATTTAAAATCTATGACTGAGTTTTAAGATCCTCTTTTTACTACTTCTTGGAAGCAGTGGCCCAGTGGAAAAAACACTTGCAATGAAACCTCAGTTAAGAGAGCCCCATTCAGACTTCAGACACTCAAACTTCCATCCTGAAATGGACAAATCCACTGTGTCTGAAGGAGTCCGGCTGAGGCAGCCAAATATAAATTAATTTTAAGTTGATTTTACTTCATTCATGTGATTTATGACATCATTACACAAATGGAATAATCAGCATAACTTGATATAATTTAAGATTTAACAGACATTCAGGAGTAATGGATCCGCCTTCTTCCCCCAAGTGGCTCATTAAATCAAGGTTTCACTCTATATGTGTGTCTGTGTGTACATATATACACCCACACACATATACAACATACACCCACAAACACATATATATGTTCATACACACAAATACATGCACAGTAAGAGAAAAAGGTGAGCACAATTTACACCTCCCAGTTATTCTCGCTCACCTCCAGATTGGGGAAGGCGCTGTCTGGCTTATTTCCAAACACTCCACCATACGCTGTGAAATCCTCAATGCTAAGCTGTAAGGAAAGGCAAATTCTGTTTTAAACCCAGCTCTCTCTCTCTCTCTCTCTCTGGACCACAAGGCTTTTTGCACAGCATTTTTAACATTTTACGTTTTGACAGTAAGCCACCTTGATTTTAGTTCAGACCTACAGAACAGGTCAAAGGAAAAAATGGGCAAAAGGAGCTTTCAACAGAAGACTCTGCTCCGGGTTAGGGGCAACCGACTTTTGCAGCCTGCATGTTTTATTTTCTTGTC